CCTTAATAAAGGCAGGTAGATCTTGCTCGTTGCAATGCACTTCACCTCACAAACAAACACGTCCGCTCAGCTCGGCTGTTCGCTCTGAACTGACCGGTTTACAGATATTCTGCAAACTGTGACAATAGCACAGAATATAACACAGAATAGAAGACACAATCTTAATAATTTTGTGGTCATGATTGTTGGACCTATACCTGTTCTCATATTTTAGTAAATTAACTTAATTAAATTTTTGATTTATAAATAAGGATATATTCCTTACAAAATAATTATACTTTAATTTAAAATCTGACATTTCCTATATAATCAAAAAAGGATAATACTTGTAAACTGCATTATTTTATTAAGATATTTTTGTTATTCATCAAGTGTAACAAATAATTATTAAAACATTTTGGAGAAGTCCTTTTTAGTTTATATTCCAGATTTTGTTTAATATTCCTTTACCTCCCACGTCCCAAATTGGTTTTGTAGTTATATCATTTTAGCGCGCACATCGAACCTTATTTGCGCACGCGTCTTATGGATAAAATAATTGTTCGTTCTTGTTCATTTCGATGACAAAGTTCTCGATTTTTAGCTTCATATTTTTATAATTTTACTGTAAAGTTTTTGAATAATTCCATCAGTTAATTAAATAACGGTAGTATCTTTTGATAATCTTCAAAACTAGGTCACTTCTGAATCAAGTGGCCGTTAATAAAGCCAAAAGTGTAGTGAAAAGTTTACACAGAAAAATCACGAAAATTCTTTGACAAAATGTTATAATAATTTCGAGAAGGAAAGTTTATTTTTTTTGTAAAGGTAAATTAGACTATAATTATCATCTAAAGATTTGCATTTATTGAATTATTAACATTAGGTCTCTTATTTACTGAAAATTAAAATTTTTATTAATGGTTCATTTAACTTATAACTGCTTATGACAGGATTTATTATCTAATCCTTTAAAGAAAAAATAACTAGTCTTTTGAGTTAAATTGTTGTAGATTAATTGTTATAATATATTCTGCTGTTGTAGTTAAACAGAGGTCTTAAAATGGTTTCTACAAGACAAATGACAATAGGAAACAATGGGTCTGTGGAAAGTAACCACTCTCCAACAGTCCCAGTGGAAGGTCCTGCAAAATTCACAAGACACAGTGCTTCTGCGAATATTATCGGCATGCAATATTGTAAAGCTTTATCACCACCAGTGCAATCGGTACAATTTTTGGACTTACCACAAGAAATTATAGAGAAGATTTTCGGTTATTTGTCTTTCAAGAATATTTGTCAATTGAGACTGGTAAGCATCTTTAACTTTTTCCTCCTTCAGTATTTTGTTTAATGCTTTAAATACTTCATTATTTGTTGCCTAATATTTTTAAATTTTCGCCCACCTTAACAAATTGTACTTAATTTATTATAATATTCGTTACCAGATGTGTAAGTATGTATAAATCTTTGGATTCTACCAATTTGAGTTGAAAGTGCTTTTGTTATTTCTCTAGCACATTTTTTAGTCATTTAAAAGTTTTCAACGAAAAATAAAAACAGTGCTGCTCTTTGTACTGATATTTATATATCTATTTATTATTCAAATGTCATGACAAAAAGGTTGCTACCTATTTCACTTTGTGCTTGATATCTCGATCAAGAATTTAAGCAATTTTTTTTTTTTGGATATAATGTCTATAGGCGAGTTTAACACAATGACAATTTTTTCATTTTGGAATTTTGATTTTATGCATTTTTTTAATAACAATTTTGTCAATAGTTATGTTATGGTACAGTTAGTTATATTTTTCTAGTATAAAATATCATTTCATTTGAAAAATCAAATTAAATATTGGGCATCAGCAGTTATAAATAGAAATCCTTCAATGGAGAATATAACACATTTTTCAATATATTTATGTCTTATTGTACATGCAACAAAATTTTATATCAAATGTCTTCAACAAAGATTGGCTTTGATGGCATAACAAAATTGTAACTCTTATGTGGTTGTAACATATTCCCAAAAGTACTTTTACTCAATCCATAAAGTTACATTGACATACATACCTCCTATTCGTAAATAATAATTATTATGGCACATTATTTGTAAAATAAAAGTTACGATATGAGAAATTGTATCAGAGGAGGTATTTTTTAAAATTTCTCTGTAGAAATTATATTCTTAATACAATACAGTCCGCAAAGAATTTGTGAGAACAGAAAGTAATTCTGTAAAAAATAATACAAATGCTACAATAGTTCGGTTAAATATGTATATGCAAATACCTACACAGTGAGGATGTATTTATTATTTGATTTTGACAGGTTTCTTTATAAGGTAGAACACCAAAAACATACAGTTTTTGTATACAACTCATATTTTATCTTTACTAATCAAGACTTCCCTCAAGTTTTAATTTTTTTTTCAGCTAAAATTTAAGACAATGTATTAGGTAGCGATGTATTTATATAAAATCTGAATATACCCCTGTACTCAGCAACCGACTCAATGCATACCATTGATGACCTACCATTATAAAAAAAATTGTTCAAAATTGATTAATAAAAATAACCTTTATCATTATCAGGGTGTTGATTTGAAAGGGGTCACTCTATACAGGTTGTTCAAGATAGACCTTCAATTAGATGTTTCTGGAAAACTACGCGTACTGGAATTCTGAAAATTTATGTACGGGGGTTTCCCCTAATGTTCTATCGATTGAAAATATTGGCGTCATCGTGGAACTTCCGGTTCTACCGGAAGTAGATGTCAACTCGCTTATTTCAAATGGAATGTACTATTTTTTAATTTTTGGATTCTACATCGAATTTTAAGATAAGTTTCATAACCTTACTTTATCCTTAAACTCAATAGTTTTTTAAATATTTTGACTTTTTCAAAATTTTTGAAACAAACATACCTACACTTAATCAGTTCTATCTCCTTCAATTTTTAAGATAGGAAGCTGAAATTTTAGATGGTCAATACCAAAACATGTCAAAATATCTGGAATATTCGAAAGTTGGTGCATGTTACACAGGGCGTCTAAAAAACACGGACCAATTGTGTCAAATTGAAAGTTTAATAACTCGCTTATTTTAAACAGATACCCTATGTTTTATAATGCCAGTAGATGCACCTGTTAATTCTCTTTCCATTGGTATAAGCATTCCCTATACCTAAATCCCACCGATTTTGAGATATTTGAACGTAAGTACACTGACGAATATAATTCGACAGTTAGCTGTAGGTTGGCTGTGGAAAAACATTTAAATGTCACCAAGTGTCATTACTTATTTAGCAGATCTGCTGTCATTGCTGTAAAGCGAGTTTGTCGATTTTCCAAGTGTTTTCAATAACAATGGCACACTGGGTACACAAACAACTACTACACGTCGGGGTAAATCGTCAGGTTGCAAATGGTGTATTAACATAAATGAAAATGGCTTCCATTTATGCTTCTCCAGAATTCTGTGAATAATTCCTATTGATAGACGTGAATTTATTATGCATCTCTAATAGACGCCTGTGGATAAGCGGTGAAAAATGCCAATACATTTACATCATTTTCTTCGTTGTCCACTGATGTCGTACTTTTATCATGTTTCGGGAGAAATTTTCCATTCTCAGAACAATTCTTTAATAGTCTTCTGACCATATTATGACTTGGTCTGTGCTTATTTGGATATCTTTCTGCAAACACGCGACATGTTCTACTAACAATTCGAGTACACTCCCCGTAAATGATAATTAAATTTAAAAAGTCGTCGTCTGTGTACCCAGAGTGTGCCATTGTTATTGAAAACACTTGGAAAATCGACAAACTCGCTTTACAGCAATGACAGCAAATCTGCTAAATAAGTAATGACACTTGGTGACATTTAAATGTTTTTCCACAGCCAACCTACAGCTAACTGTCGGATTATATTCGTCTCTGTACTTATGTTCAAATATCTCAAAATCGGTGGGATTTAGGTATAGGGAATGCTTATACCAATGGAAAGAGAATTAACAGGTGCATCTACTGGCATTATAAAACACAGGGTGTTCTATTTAAAATAAGCGAGTTATTAAACTTTCAATTTGACACAATTGGTCCGAGTTTTTTAGACGCCCTGTGTAACATGCACCAACTTTCGAATATTCCAGATATTTGGACACGTTTTGGTATTGACCATCTAAAATTTCAGCTTCCTATCTTAAAAATTG